GAACAAAATGAATTTTTGTTAATTATTCAATAACTATAAGAAATATACCCCACAAACTATATATATTTGTTATCAGAAGAAAATAACAAATTATTTTAAGTCATAGCCAACTATGGTTTCCATTTAAAAAAATAAAGTTACGTCTAAAATCTCGAAAATAAAAGATGGGAAAAAAATTCTACCTACGCCACTGAATTCTTCGTAAAAAGTTGCCCATATAATGTTTTATTTATAATACTCCATCTTTGATAATAAGTGAGATATTCGCGATTGTCGTTTTCGCAAAATTTTCAGTTTTTGCCGATAGGGCGAAAACAAAAGACGATAGCTGTTCGGAGTTTTCGGCATTAGCATTTTCTCGAAAAACGAGATCATGACATGTAAGCTACTTTTTTTCTATCTCTTTTAGTTTCGGAGATAGCCTATGCGGACATCGAAATTGGGACACCCTGTACACAAATTATAAGCTTCCAATGAACGGTCCATGATCTAAATATATTTCCCCCCTTCTTACAATTTATTAAGAGAATTATATAGTAATAAATTTCTTTTAGGAACTTCTGGAGCATCGACACGTGAATCAACGCGCAAAGATAGCGTAGCCGAAGTGATCGAAACCAAAGAATCGCCACCTTCCAGCCCCGAAAGAACTTCCCCGCCCCGTTTAGGTCCCGGCCAAATAAAACCGCGCGGTTTTCGATTATCAAGCATTAGACCCGTTGAGCTTAAACTTGGGTTATTAATGACTAAGGGTCAATTGGAAGTGGAGGTTGTCTGCGCGAGGCATATAACACCCCGAGAAACACCCCCGGATACTTACGTAAAATGTTATTTGAGAGATGGAGAGCGTTGGTTGCAAAAGAAAAAAACCCGAGTCATGCGACATTCTTGCGAACCCCAATTTCGACAAACTTTAAAATATCAGGCGTGTGATGTTTTAGGACGAACGCTTGTGGTGATGTTATGGGAAAGACAAGGAGGGTTCGAACATAATCAAGGGTTAGGAGGAGCCGAAGTCGCTTTAGATAACTTAACGTTAACGCATTTAACAACGGGGTGGTATCCGTTGTTTCCGATTCATTCTTTGGGTTCCGATTCGAACGATTCACCTTGATCTATGAGTTTGATGCGGAGAGCGAGCCGCAGTTGGAGAAGAGGGAGTGTATGTCCTATTGGGGTTGATGTCGATTTAGCATCTTCACCACCGATTTAAATCTTTTTTTTTTAAGAAAAAATAAATAATAGAGGACCAAAAGGATTTATTTATTGATAAATTGGACACCGAAAAATAATAATAAAATAAAATACAAAAAAAGGAGAATCATTTACACCAATGTATATAAAAATATTTTAACGTGTGTTCAAAAATTAATTAAAAAAATGTTTCTTGGAGGTGAGAAAATTGAAATAATTTAATTCCTTATTTGCTATAAGTAAATTTGAACGTAAATAACAACAACTTTAAGGAATTACAATCGTTATAATGATTGACAATAACTTAAATATCATCACAATTTTGAATTACTAATAAAGTTATAATCATAAGAAAAAATCCTAAGGAGTAATTGAATTAATTTTAAATCTAATTAATTGATAACTTTATACAGGGTGTCTCAGCGAGACCGGTCATTAGACGTTTCTGGGGTTCTGGCCAAACAAAAAATTTGAGAATGCTGACTTAAGTATTATCAATTACGTTCTCTTCATCTAAAATATTTTCAGATTTCTAGCACTTCCGGTTATACCGGAAGTCGCCACCAGAGAAAGCTTTGAGCTTTAATTTAAAATAAGTCTCATTCCTTAATTTCAATAAACACGGCTTCCAGGAATTTTTAAATTAGCATTTTTTTTGACATTCTTAGGTTATACATTATTAGGTCATATATATAGGTTATATATAGGTTATATATTAGGTTATACATTATTATATTGTTGCGTTAGCATTTTCTTCATTTATGACATTTTGGCTGATGATGACCTTTATGTGTCGAAACCGGTTCCAATAAATATTTAAAATTTAAGCGAGTAAGAAGTTTTTTATATTTTTATATGTTTATATACATTTTCCCATTTTTAAATTAGCATCTTTTTTGACACTTTTAGGTTATACGAAAATGTAAGTGTTGTTTCAACATTTTTTTTCTCAATATTTTTCCAATCCAACCCAACAATTATTATACATCATTTTAAAGAGAAAGCTTTGAGCTTTAATTTAGAATAAGTCTCATTCCTTAATTTCAATAAATACGGCTTCCAGGAATTATTAAATTAGCATCTTTTTTGACACTTTTAGGTTATACGAAATGTAAGTGTTGTTTCAACATTCTTTTTCTCAATACTTTTCCAATCCAACCCAACAATTATTATACATGATTTTAAAGAGAAAGCTTTGAGCTTTAATTTAGAATAAGTCTCATTCCTTAATTTCAATAAATACGGCTTCCAGGAATTATTAAATTAGCATTTTTTTTGACATTCTTAGGTTATACGAAAATGTAAGTGTTGTTTCAACATTTTTTTTCTCAATATTTTTCCAATCCAACCCATCAATTATTATACATCATTTTAAAGACAAAGCTTTGAGCTTTAATTTAGAATAAGTCTCATTCCTTAATTTTAATAAATACGGCTTCCAGGAATTTTTAAATTAGCATCTTTTTTAACATTCTTAGGTTATACGAAAATGTAAGTTTTATTTAAACTTTTTTTTTCTTAATGTTTTTCCAATCTAACTCATCAATTATTATACACCATTTTAAAGAGAAAGCTTTGAGCTTTAATTTAGAATAAGTTTCCTTCCTTAATTTAAATAAATACGGCTTCCAAGAATATTTAAATTAGCATCTTTTTTGACACTTTTAGGTTATACGAAAATGTAAGTTTTGTTTCAACAATTTTTTTCTCAATATTTTTCCAATCCAACCCAACAATTATTATACATCATTTTAAAGAGAAAGCTTTGAGCTTTAATTTAGAATAAGTCTCATTCCTTAATTTCAATAAATACGGCTTCCAGGAATTTTTAAATTAGCATCTTTTTTGACACTTTTAGGTTATACGAAAATGTAAGTTTTGTTTCAACAATTTTTTTCTCAATATTTTTCCAATCCAACCCAACAATTATTATACATCATTTTAAAGAGAAGGCTTTGAGCTTTAATTTAAAATAAGTCTCATTCCTTAATTTCAATAAATACGGCTTCCAGGAATTATTAAATTAGCATCTTTTTTGAAACTTTTAGGCTATACGATAATGTAAGTTTTGTTTCAACATTTTTTTTCTCAATATTTTTTCAATTCAACCCAACAATTATTATACACCATTTTAAAGAGAAAGGTTTGAGCTTTAATTTAGAATAAGTCTCATTCCTTAATTTCAATAAATACGGCTTCCAGGAATTTTTAAATTAGCATATTTTTGACACTTTTAGGTTATACGAAAATGTAAGTTTTGTTTCAACATTTTTTTTCTCAATATTTTTCCAATCCAACCCAACAATTATTATACATCATTTTAAAGAGAAAGCTTTGAGCTTTAATTTAGAACAAGTCTCATTCCTTAATTTCAATAAATACGGCTTCCAGGAATTTTTAAATTAGCATCTTTTTTGACACTTTTAGGTTATACGAAAATGTAAGTGTTGCTTCAACATTTTTTTTCTCAATATTTTTCCACTCCAACCCAATAATATTATACATCATTTTAAAGAGAAAGATTTGAGCTTTAATTTAAAATAAGTCTCATTCCTTAATTTCAATAAATACAGCTTCCAGGAATTTTTAAATTAGCATCTTTTTTAACATTTTTAGGTTATATGAAAATGTAAGTTTTGTTTCAATACTTTTTTTCTCAATATTTTTCCAATCCAACCCAACAATTATTATACATCATTTTAAAGAGAATGCTTTGAGCTTTAATTTAAAATAAGTCTCATTCCTTAATTTCAATAAATACGGCTTCTAGGAATTTTTAAATTAGCATCTTTTTTGACACTTTTAGGTTATACGAAAATAGGGGGATTGCATATTTTGCTAAAATTGATTCTAACTAACTGAGTGTATTTTGATAGCGTTTTAATTCTGCCACAAAGTTTCAAAATTTTTGACTTCTTGGGACACAAAGAGCTAATGTCTGCATAATCGTAATCATAGATGCTAAGATAATCTTTAATACTTGATATCTTAGGAACTAATTGAGATATCACCATGAAATGGAACGTAATTTAAAGCAAATTTAGTTAGTATTTAAACGTTTTGAATATCAATTTTTCAAATTTTAAATTTGGGAGTTACGATTTTTTGAATTCATCTCTGCATAAAAGTACTTAATATTTAAGATTTCGTATCTCGAAGACTAATTGAGATATCAGTATAAAACTAGAAGCAATTTAAAGCAAATTTAATCAATATTTAATACAATGAATATTTGATTTCCACATATACATATAAATTTAGACTGAATTGAGAATGATATTGAAGGTTATTTCCAATTTGTGAGTATAATAAGATGTTGAACTTATTGTTTTGATGTATTCTAACACAATTAATAATTGTATGAAATGTTTAATCCCTAATTCAATGTCCTGGATATATCCGCTTTGTAATAATTTACATTTCAATTACGACCAATTAGCCGTGTTCGATNAAGAGAAAGCTTTGAGCTTTAATTTAAAATAAGTCTCATTCCTTAATTTCAATAAATACGGCTTCCAGGAATTTTTAAATTAGCATCTTTTTTGACACTCTTAGGTTAAACGAAAATAGGGGATTGTATATTTTGCTAAAATTGATTCCAAAGGCCTTTACTGAGTGTATTTTGATAGCATTTTAATTCTGCCTGATTCTGTCACAAAGTTTCAAAATTTTTAACTTCTAGCTTTAACGTCTGCATAATCATAATCATAGATGCTAAGATAATCTTTAATACTTGATATCTTAGGAACTAATTGAGATATCACCATGAAACAGAACGCAATTGAAAACAAATTTAGTTAGTATTTAAATGCTTTAAACATCAATTTTTCAAATTTTTAAATTTGTGAGTTACGATTTTTTGAACTCATCTCTGCATAACCATAATTATAACTGTTATAAGATAAAAGTACTTAATATTTAAGATTTCGTATCTCGAAGACTAATTGAGATATCAGTATAAACCTAGAAGCAATTTAAAGCAAATTTAATCAATATTTAATACAATGAATATTTCGTTTCCACATATACATATAAATTTAGACTAAATTGAGAATGATATTGAAGGTTATTTCCAAATTGTGGGTATAATAAGATGTTGAACTTATTGTTTTGATGTATTCTAACACAATTAATAATTGTATGAAATGTTTAATCCCTAATTCAATGTCCTGGATATATCCGCTTTGTAATAATTTACATTTCAATTACGACCAATTAGCTGTGTTCGATCGAATTCCACCCTGGCTAAAAGCTCTAACAAAAAATTAATTTCGATGTTGTTCGAGAATGTTCTAATGATAATGTGTTAATGGAAATAAATGGATTTTGCAACGTTAGTTAATTATTACATTTACATAATTAGATATAATACACTTTTTTTAGTACAAAATAAAATGGGAAGAATGACCAAAACGAGTTAACATAACATTAGTGGGTGTAAAAGCTGTTATAATATGATGCAAAAATGTAAATAAGAGGAAACAAAGAGGAGAATACAAACAAGTCTGAAATTTCAAACAATACTGAAAATAAAAACAAAAAAATGTTTTACTCATTATTTTGTTGGTAGAGCACGGAATTGGGAAAGGTATAGAAAAAAAGCTTTCTCAGCATAATCATAATTATAACTGTTATAAGATAAAACTACTTGATATTTAAGAATTCGTATCTCGAAGACTAATTGAGATATCTGTATAAAACTAAAAGCAATTTAAAGCAAATTTAATCAATATTTACAGCAATTCAATAAATTATCTAGACCTCACAATTTATTGAAATAAAAACAACATTCTGGTATAAGAAACATGACCTATATTGCCGAAATTGGAAGAACGATAAGACAAAGAATAAAACAACATGTGTAACGACAACTCGGGATTTTTTTTATTACAGATAAATATGAAAAATTATTTCACTAACAATAAAAAAGCAAATAAACACATTTTATTTGGAAGCGTTGAGATTGACAAATTAAGGGAAGTTGAATGTTTGAATGATCAAATTTTTTTTCTGTTGGTCTAAATATAGTTTTCTCTCTTTCAGTATAAAATTCTTTTACAA